TTTAATTTCATTAGGTGGAAGCCCCCTTCAAACTAAGTGACTCATGACATTATGTAATCAATTTAAGTTGGAACATGGATACTACTCTTAGCCATCTTACAAACACGTAGCAAGGGGGTTGTATTAGTCACCCTACACTTTGTCTTGAATATCAGAATTCCTTTTGGAGGAAATTTGAAATTTTATATGAAGACTCATATATCTAATAAAGATGAATGCTCAAAGTTGTCGTTGCTTATATTGCTGGAAATTTGGAACTTGCTTCCTACTCTAATTGATTAAGCACCACGAAAACTACAATATGTGCAAGACCAATTGATCGCCCATGCATATTTTGTCTCAAAATGTTAATGAGTGAATGAATGACTATCAGCTCTTCTCATTGCCCTCTTCAAATAACAGCAACAATTAATAATCTCCCCATTGTTAATTGTTAACGCTAAACCATTGTACGAATAAGTTTGGGGCAAAGCTTCTTGAGTATATATTTCAAAAGATGTGTTCCCAACAGGGAGTTCTTGGTTAGTAAAAGAATTCATACGAAATTGCACTGCGTAATAACAACGAAATTTTGCAATTCTAAGGGAGTACGGTGCAATCCTTCTCAACAATATCATATGGATTTTTCCCTACTCCAGGTATGTTAAGGCTAAGCCTTCCTTCATTTTGGCATGATATCATAACTACACGAGTTTGATAACGAGGCATAAAGAGAAATTCATATCCCTGAATTTATGTATATTTTCTAGTCTCATAAGTTACAGTATTCTCCTTTATCGGGACTTCATATTCAATAGAGTATTGTCTTATTCCAGCCAAGAGAGCAGAGAATCTATATATACAGTATTATAGTATTTTCACTACCATCGAGCTATAATCGATGGGCAGGCCCCTATTGGGCAACCTCTAATCAGATGGTAAGTTATATACCGAGCCTACTGTAGCCGAGCACCTATGAGCTAGCCCAGTTGGTCGAGATACATAGCCTAGTCTGGCCGAGCGCCTATGAGCAAGCCTACTACGACAGAGCAGTTATATATATACCGAGCCTTATAAGGCCGGATATTTATTTTACTTATTATATTGAGAGAATTGAGTCAGTATCAGCAGGTAAGTATACCTCCAGATCATCTTTGACTCCCAGTTACCTTCAGTTATTATATTATCAGTTCAGCTGCAGCTTTCAGTTATTTTATTGCCTTGCATACTCGGTACATTATTTCGTACTGATGTCCCTTTTTCTGGGGATGCTGCATTTCATGCGTGCAGGTTCAGACAGACAGACGAGTAGACCTCCTTAGTAGGTGTTGCCCGAGTTTAGCTATATCGGTAAGCTCCACGTCCTTCGGAGTTGCCGGGTCTAGAAGTTTTGTATATATCTTGTGTATATATGTATATAGGCTCTGGGTAGGTTGGGCCCCAGTTCCGATCACAGTACATCCATCAGTAGAGGCTTGTAGACATATCTTGTTAGTTAGTGTAGTATGTTGGGCTTTTAGGCCTTGTATGTATATTTTGTTGGCTTATGAGCTGTAGTAGTTATTACGGCCTTGCCGGCCCAGCTTTAGTGAGCGTTAGTTTCCATTCAGTTTTATATTTTGCTTCGCAAATTGTCTTGCAATGTGGCCCCTGGCCAAAGTATGACATTATATGTCCAGAGTCCCTTAGTCGCAAGTTGGTACGCAAGGATAGATGAGGCACCAGGTGACGGTCTCGCCCTCAGGCTCGGGGCGTGACACCTATCGTGGAATTAGGCTAGCCGACTCATTTTTCAAAACAAACTGATATTTTTATTTCAAAGATAATCTCAAGGCCATTTAACATAATAACCTTCGTAAAGGAGTTCAAATCAAAACAAAAGTGTGGAAAAGAAAAGCCCGATATCGAGGTGTCACTAGTCCTGAGCATCTACTACAACTTGTCTGACAATATCGAGACTAACATAGTCTGGAAAATAGATAAATACAACTAAAGGAAGATAAGAGGGAGAAGAGAAGGGTTGTAATCGCTAGACAGCTACCTTGCTATCCCTGAGAAAATCTGCAACCGGAATAGTCAACAGCCGGTACTGTGTCCAACTATACCTGGATATGCACACAAGGTGCAGGGAGTAACGTGAGTACGCCAATTCAGTAAGTAAAAATAATAAATAAAGAGTGAGTAGTAGTGACGAGCAATAAAGCATATAAAGTTCATATCATGAAATCTCGGTAAAATACAACATGCTTTAAAAAAAATCAGGGTTGGAATCAAATCATCTTGTTAAAACCCAGTTCCAGTAAAAATCATTTAAAGATATTTTTCAACAGTTTTTCAAACAAAGGCTCAATGCAAAGGTGAGCAAAAATAATGAAATCATAATCAGCCCCTCGGGCAACATCACTCGTATATAGCCCCTCGGGCAAACCTCAAAATCACTCATGCCTCTCGGGCATACCTCACAATCACTCATGCCTCTCAGGCATACCTCACAATCACTCATGCCTCTCAGGCATACCTCACAATCACTCATGCCTCCCAGTCACTCGGCACTCGACACTCGCAGTCAGTAGATACCTGCGCTCACTGTGGTGTGTACAGACTCCGGAGGGGCTCCTTCAGCCCAAACGCTATATCAAGCCAAATCATGGCATAAAATCACTTAGGCCCTCGGCCTATATCAAACATGCTGCGCCGTGCAGCCCGATCCCATAAAAATCCTCACAAATCATGCCCTCGACCTCACTCAGTCATAAACCTCTCAAGCCACTCGGTCTCTTAGTAAAACAGGGTATTCAGCCCAAAACAACATTTATATGCATCAAAACAGAGAAATAAAAAAATGGATTTATGCAGTAAACAGGTATAACCATGACTGAGTATAGATTTTCAATCGAAAACAGTGAGAGGGTAGTAATAAAAAGGCCCCTAAGGGTCCAAACAGCACCGGCACAAGGCCCAAACATGGCATTCTGCCCAATTTACAGAAACTCATTTCTAAAACTCATAAGTATCATATAGTTTCAACAAAATATGTAAATTTACAGTTGATACGGGACGGGCAGAGTCACAATCCCCAACGGTGCACGCCCACACGCCCGTCACCTAGCATGTGCATCACCTAAAAATAGTAAATGATACGAAATCAGGGGTTTTATACCATCAGGACTAGATTTGCAATCGTTACTTACCTTAAACCGATCAAATCCCTACTCCGCGATGCTCTTGCCTCTTGACTCAGCCTCCAAATGCTCTGAATCTATTTATAATCAATACAATACCATCAATATACGCTAATGGAATGTATTCCACAAGAAAAAATATCAAATTAGCCCAAAACCCGAAATTAGCTCAAACCCGGCCCCCGGGACCACGTCTCGAAATACGACAAAATTTACAAAACTAGAAAGCCCATTCACTCACGAGTCCATGCATACAAAATTTATTAAAATCTGACCTCATTTGGTCCCTCAAATTCATAAATCAAACTCTCCAAAATCACAAGCCCTAACCCCTCATTTTCACCCCTAATTTCCACTAATTACATGATTAAACAACGAGAAATCACTACATATACGAGTATTAAGGCTCAAGAAACTTACCTCACTGATATCCCTTTGAACCCCTCTTGAAAGTCACTCCCAAAAGCTTGAAAACCGACTGAAAATAGTGAGAAATGGAACAAAATCCGCGAAGTCTCCTTTTTATATTTTCTGCCCAGGCCTTTCGCACCTGCGGAATATTCATCGCACGTGCAAAACTAACTTAGGATCCCAGGTTTCGCATCTGCGGCCAACCTTTTGCACCTACGCACCTGCGCGTAAGACTCCGTATCTGCGAAGCCAGTCACTTTCCTCCCTTCCGTATCTGCGCCCCAGGTTTCGCACCTGCGGGCTCGCAGATGCGATAGCCTTCTCGCACTTGCGCATCCTTCCTAACCCAGCACTGTCTGCACCTGCGAACTCCCACGCGAACCAGCGACCTCGCACCTACGGTTCTCCCCTCCGCAGGTGTGGAAATATCAGTAGCAGCAGCTTCAGCTGCATTTTCCAACTTCAAACAATCCTTTAACCACCCGTAATCACCCCGAGGCCCTCAGGACCTCAACCAAAAATACCAAAAAGTCATATATCAACATACAAACTTAGTCGAACCTTCGAATCACTCAAAACAACATCACATCACCAAATTACCCTCGCATTCAAGCCTAAGAACTTATAAACTTCCAAATTGGACAACCGATGCCGAAACCAACCAAACCTCGTTCGAATGACCTCAAATTTTGCACACACGTCACTAATGGCACTACGATCCTACTCCAACTTCCTAAATTCCATTCCGACCACGATATCAAATTTTACATTGCCGATCGAAATCGCCAAATTTCCAACTTTCGCCAATTCAAGCCTAATTCTACTACGAACCTCCAAATCACATTTTGGACGCACTACTAAGTACAAAATCTCCTAACGGAGCTAACAGAACCATAAAAATCTAAATCCGAGATTTTTTACACATAGGTTAACATCTGGTTGACTTTTCCAACTTAAGCTCCTAAATAAGAGACTAAGTGTCTCATTCCACTCCGAAACCACTCCGGACTCAAACAAACCAACCCGGTGTATCATAAAATAGCTGAAAAACACAAAAGGAAGCAGAAATTGGGGAAACGAGGCTATAACTCTCAAAACTACCGACCATGTCGTTACATCCTCCCCGTCTTAAACAACCATTCTTCCTCGAACGGATCTTGAAACATACCTGAGGTCTTGAATAGGCATAGATATCTACTCCACATCTCCCGCTCGATATCCCAGGTGGCCTCCTCCATAGGCTGACCTCTCCACTGCACCTTCACCGAAGCTATGTCCGTTGACCTCAACCTTCGAACCTGCCGATCCAAAATAGCCACCGGCTCCACATCATAAGTCATATCACCCTCCAACTGAAACCGTGCTGAAATCCAAAACATGGGATGGATCTCCAATATACTTCCGGAGCATGGAAATATGAAATATTCCTCTACATCTGTGCACCAGCTGCTTATTGATCGCTATGCTAAACAATATCCACTTCCGCCGTCTCTTCATCAAGCCCTACTGCATTATCACCCTTATACTGCAAGCAAAAGTAAACGGCTCACTTCAGATTAATACTTTTAGATGCTCAGCTTATGAATACAACAACATGCAAAAGGCAAGATCCCAGGCAACCTGACAAAAGATGTATATAGATAAGGACTAGGAGATAGATAAGCACTAAAGAGTAAGGAAAATGCTGGCAGCCTTTGGCAAGAATCTGTGGACTATAATGTAGTCTGCCTGATTTTTTCTTCGGGGTGGGGGTGGGGAGGAAGTTCGAAGGTGAACAGTATACTTTTTCCTTTCTCACTGCTCACCCCTTTATAGTTTGCATAATCCGACGAAAGAGAACTTTAATCACTGATAGTTTTACATAAAGTAGGTTGCAAACCGAAAGAACTCAAGAGTCCATATATTCACATGCTACATATGATGTAGTTAACTTATTGAACGTACCTTCAAATAACCACCTGGGGGGAGAGGAGGAGGAGGTGGTAGAAAAGGATATTCTGGAATACCAGAAGGAGTTCCCTTCCCAGCTCTTGTAGCATTTCCAGCTACTTCAACTTTTTCCTCCATCTCAACAACTTCAACATCTTCATCTGCTGCATGGGCGGCCATGCTGGTTGATGGCAAAACAACAGCAACATCAGAGGCTTTGGGCTGCAGAATTCGAAGAACGCGTTTTTCAGTTCCACAACAGCAATTGTAAGAGAACGAAATGTTCTAAGATGCAAAACACAACCAATGCCTATCCTCAAGGCATCACAATACACAGTGTAAGAACCTGAAGCTGATGGTAGAACTAACACTAGAGCTGTGGTCAAAGCAGTATTGAGCTTCTGAAATCTCTCCTCACACTTGTTCGACCACCTGAATGGAACACCCTTTTGGGTCAATTTGGTCAAGGGCGAAGCAATAGATGAAAATCCCTCCACAAAGCAACGGTAATAACTCGCCAAACCAAGAAAGCTCCTAATTTCCATGGCTGAGGACGGTCTAGGCCAACTCTGCACTGCCTCTATCTTCTTCGGATCCACCTGAATACCCTCACTGGACACCACGTGCCCCAAGAATGCTACTGAGCCGAGCCAAAACTCACACTTGGAGAACTTTGCATAAAGCTTCTCCTCCCTGGCTACGAGAGTACACCAGGATGTCATCAATGAATACAACAACGAATGAGTCCAAATAGGGCTGGAATACACTATTCATCAAATGCTTGAATGTTGCTGGTGCAATGATCAGCCCAAAAGACATCACTAAGAACTCATAATAGCCATATTGGGTCCTGAAAGCTGTCTTAAGAATATTCAAATCTCGAATCTTCAGCTGATGATACCCGGACCTCAAATCAATCTTGAAGAACACCCTCGCTCCCTGAAGCTGGTTAAATAAATCATCAATACGAGCAAAAGGATACTTGTTCTTGACTGTGACCTTGTTCAACTGCCTATAATCAATGCACATTCTCATGGAACCATCCTTCTTCTTTACAAATAGAATCGGTGCACCCCAAGGTGACATACTAGGCTGAATAAACCCCTTATTAAGGAGTTCCTGAAGTTGTTCTTTCAATTCTTTCAGCTCTGCTGGTGCCATACAATACGGTGGAATAGAAGTGGGCTGAGTGCCCGACACCAAATAAATACCAAAGTCAATATCCCTGTCAGGCGGCATGCCCGGTAGGTCTGCAGTAAACACACCTGAAAAATTACGTACCACCGAAACAGAATCAATGGTAGGAGTCTCTGCACTAACATCCCTCACAAACGCTAAATAAGATAGGCAAACCTTCTCAACCATACGCTGAGCCTTCAAATATGAAATCACCCTACTAGGTACATAATCTATAGAACCGCTCCACTCAACCCTTGGAAATCCCGGCATCGCCAACCTCACGGTCTTAGCATGACAATCTAGATTAGCATGACATGGAGATAACCAATCCATACCCAATATCACATCAAAGTCAACCATACTAAGCAGCAAAAGGTCCACTTGGGTTTCTAGACCCCCAATGGTCACCACACATGACCTATATACGCAGTCCACAACAATAGTATCGCCCACAGGAGTAGATACATGAACAGATGAAACGAAAGACTCACGGGGCATATCCAGAAAATGGGCGAAATACGAGGAAACATATGAATACATGGAACCAGGGTCAAATAATACGGAGGCATCTCTGTGACAAACCGAGACAATACCTGTAATCACGGCATATGAAGCAATAGTATCTGGTCAGGCAGGGAGGGCATAGAAATGGGCCTGGCCACCCCCTGATCTGCCTCCCCCTCTAGGGCGATCCCTAGCCGACTAACCTACACCCCGAGCTGACTGGGCGGGTGGTGAAGTAACTGGTGCTAAAGTCGAAGGTTGACTCCTCTACTGAGATAAACCTCCATGATAATGAGGACACTGCCTCCACATATGCCCAAACTCCCCACACTCAAAACAACTCCCTGGTGCTGGTGGCAAGAACTGAAGGGAACCCTAGCACCGGGATAACTGGTAGAAGAACCTGGCATGGAGGAGCCCTGAACTGGTGGAGCACGGGACGAACTCTGAGCTGGAAGGGCACAGAGTGATGAGTGGCCCTGATGAGAACTGTGAGAACCATGGCCAAATGATGCACCACGGTGAAATGGCCGAGCTGACTGAGCCTGTCTGAAATGACAACCTCTACCGTGCTGAAATTGACCCCCAAAAGTAGCACTACTGAATCCACCCTGACCACGAGGCCTCTTGGCCTCCCTCTCAACCCTCTCCTGACCACGAACCATCTTAATCTGCCGATAAATGTCGACAACCTCATCAAAGGTAGCACCAGACACCCTCTCTCTGGTCATAAGAAACTGTAGTTGAAAAGTAAGACCATCAATAAACCTCATGATCCTCTCCCTGTCCGTGGGAACCAAC